GTATTTAACCTTTTCTACTTTTATTATAAAGATCGGGCGATTTTGTTCAAGCAATCAAATGTTGATTAAAATATAAGGGTCTAAAATTTATGGAGGTACAAAAAAAAATTGAGAAGAAACCACCGAAATTTTGAAAATTTGTAAAAATCATTTAAACAGTTATTAGCAAACTATTAAACTTTTCATACAAGTCTATAAATATAAGATTGAATCAATGTAAAAGGCCACATATTAGAAAGATAGATCACACGATGAAACCAAGGAGAGAACAATAAGAATAAAGAAAATGGGGTGGAAGTAAGATGTGCAAACATGCACATATACAAAGAGAGCAAATTATTGAACGAAGCATAAAAACTAAATAAATCCGTATGGTAGAGTGAGATGCTGAAAAAGGGTATGTTAATCCACTACTCTAAGATTATGGGTGAGTTCCACTAGTAGCTCAATTTATGGATGAGACTTAACAAATGCAAGTACGTAATGTATGAACAAAAATGTTGTCATGTTTGAGTTGGTCTCGTAGCAGGTGAATTTTTCACCATTTTATTTCAAGTTTTTATTCCTTTAGATGTTTGTTTCTGTAGATTTTCCATGATTATATTTTAATAAATTTTTGTTTTTCTATTTATTCATCACCATGATTGAAATTCGACATCTAGTTAAATTTCCATGCTATTCCAGAAGAAACATATTGCCCCTCCTATTGACCTTGACCATCATGGTTTACAGAAATATAGATATGTCGATTGGAAAATTTCCTCCCATTCTTTTTGTTTGGAAGTCAGGTAAATCTTATCTTGGGGGGTTTCAAAAATAAGATATTCTTACGAGAATGAGAGCATTAGCCTTCAGAATATATGGTTTCACTGATTTACTGCATTGGTCCATCAGCTTCTCAGCATCTTTTAGTGCAAGCTGAAATATTGTTGAAGAGTTAACAACGCAACCAATGTAATTCAAAAAGAAATATTTCCCATAAAAAATTAAAGTAGATGAAAAGCAATTAGAATAGAATTACTTCAGCAAGTACTGTAGGATCCAACCCATTCAATGGTCGATATTCAGAAGCAGACGGTGGTCTATCTTTGAGGAATCGACTAATCCTGTTTGTTGGCATCATAGTTACAATGAATGAATAATACTGAATGGAAGAAAGATAAAACTATTTTTAAAAAATAATAATAATAATAATGATAAAAACCTGATATAAGCAGCACTTCTGTTGTTGAGAATAACCGGATCACCTGGTTTGATGTTATTTGCTCTTGAGTAACACTTGATTGCCTGAACAAAAAATAAACTTGTATTTTATTTTCAGATACTGAGAATAAAAAACTGATCGTGCAATATAAACAAACTCATGTGGAAATGATAGTTTAATGCATGATCTGAAGAAAAGTATTATACTTTCTCCAATAGTAAGAGATCTAAGAGAGCAAGCAGCGAAACATTTCACCTCTTCAAAGTTATTATCTCTAAATGCTCGGTTCCCGTTTTGTACGAATTCAAAAACATGACTAAACATGTTCCATGTTAATGAACCCTCTCCTTCATTGGTCTGCACAAAATGAACAGTTTCCAATCACATTCTGAGACATGTATTAAATCAGAAAAGAACTGATGTTATCCTTCAGTTTTCATCTCAAAAAATATATATCAAAACAGGAGAAATACTTGATCTGTATCAATACTAAAAAGATAATTATTACAATCCTTCAGCTTATTGACCATTCATTCAGCAGCTGGCATGGATGCTATCTTCTTTAATGGATAATTGCAGGCATCAGCCAACAGAAACTTGTTGGGTCAAGTAAACTAGCTATAAAACCTACAGTAGCTGTTAAATCTAAAATTTCGAAAAAGACACGAGCTTGCATCATTCTTTCTCATAACGATCAAGCTCAATGTTGCAGAGATTTATATCTTTCATATGATATATTCTACAATTTTTTTTTTTTTTTTTCACATCGAAACAAATCTATGGTAAATTATTTTTTTTATCTTGACTTTTTTTTTTCCTTCCCTTTTCCCTTTCCCTTAATTTAATGTCAGTTGGTTGATGAATAATTTGCTAAAGGAGACAACTAGAAATGAACTACTTTGCTAGTTCTTTCCAAGTCAAGCTCGAGTTCATTTTTTACCAAAACACTCTTCACAGCGATCATACACTTTAAATGAAACACGATTAGATATTCGGAAGTAGGAATGATACGATTGTGGAACCCAGAGATATTACCGGAGTGAACAAAAAAAAATTAGAAATATATTAGAAAACAATTAATACAGCAAAAAAGAAAGTAGTCCAGATAAATCCTCGAAGTTTCCCATCTCCTGTTGCAATTAATACAAGAAAAGCTGCATGTGGCTCAGAAAGAAAGAAAGAAGGAAAAAACTAAAACACCTCAAGGCTCAAAGCTCGGCACTTCGTTCTTTCAACACAACACATTGAATCAGAAAAACTAAAGCAAAAGAAAGTGGAAAAAAGAATAACAACCAAAAGAGAAGATAATCAATAACGAACTGACCGAAATGTAGTCGTCGATGTCGCCGAGAGAATCCACGGGCAAACTGTTCGAAGGCTCAGCCATAGCCAATGCAGAAACGGATTGAAACTCTTCTGTGAGACGAAATTCAAGACTATAGAAGAAAATTGAAGCTAAAAGATAGAAGAACTTTAAGAGCAAGTTGCAATGACCATCGTGTTCGTCCCTGAATCCTTCGTCCACACACGGACCAAATTCTACTACGTGTTTTCTCTCTCTATCTCTCTCTCTCTCTCTCTCTCCCGCGGGAGGGCCAGTGGGAGACGAATTTCGAAGGGCTGAAATTTTTTTTAGTTATTTTGCAAATTTATTATTTTCGTAAATATGATTTATAATTTAATAAAACACACAAAAATCATTTTATACTTTATTAATAAATAATGAAAATGTGTAGGAGCGTTAAATCAGAGCCGTAGGATGAAAGTTCGATTCCCATTTGTAGAGTGACAGATCGAAGATGATTAGATGGGGATATAGTTGGAAGCCGTAATAACTTTATGACCAAATTTAATGATCAAAACTTTATGGCATTTTGAGTTTTTTTTTTTAAATTTAATTTAATTTTGAAATAGACAATAAAGTCTCCATTTCTTTCAAGAGATAATAAGTCTCCCTTATAATTTTATTTGCTTAAATTTTAATATATTTATTTCGTCTTTTATTTTAATTGGACTTTAATATAAGTAGAAAATTACTTTTTATTTTAAATAAGATTATGAATTCATAAATATATATAAAAAAAAAAAGAGTGTGACATTATAATATAATACCAACTATGGTCCAATGACTCTAATTAAATTGGACACGTAAGTCTAATCTTTCTCATCAATTTTTTTTATTACCATCGTACTATCAAGTGGGATGACAGTTAATTCGAATATTACAAATATTTAGGAATAAAATTTAATGAGGAAAATGATAAAGAAAAGTAGTAAAGAAATAGGAAGAAATGTTGTTTTGTTTCAGAGAGACGTAGGTGGTGAAGTTGAGATAAGGGAATTAGACGGCACGGCAGGGGGCCGCAGCAGTAGCGGAGATGCCGCCGAACCCTGCCCCTGCGGATTCCTTTCTACCTGCGAATGCCACTTGGGATGTGATTTGCCGCCTTAGATACAGATACCTACTCTGCCCTATCAACATCTCATCCTTTGCCCTTTTCCAGAGTGCAGTCCCAAGGCTACAAAATCGAATCACCCAAATTTACTGACGTCTTATCTAAACAAATACCCTCGTATTTTGATGCAACTCGATTGAAAGGTACCTAGTTCTCCTAATAGAACACTTTTACATTTTTTTTTTTCTTTTTTTAAGGTTGAAAGCTCGATCTCTCGAGTCCTACATTGGAGCTTCATATGATTCTCTCGGAATTGAACCGCAGGGCATCATTATCTTTTTTTCCTGCATTTTTCAAGCTATAGGGATATGATTTGAACTTTATGTTCTTATTTGTTTGGAAGTATCAGGGGATACTCCATCCCAAACACCTTACATAGAAGACCACAGACTAACCCAGAAGCGAGACTAGTTCATATTTACAACAATTTCACAAAGATCATGCCCTGTGATATGCCATGTAAGTTGTAAAGCTGGCTAGAAATTAATGGACTTCTGCATATAGAGATACTGTTTTATTCTATGCGATTCCTTTGTTATCATATTACACTTCTGCACTAAGATTCAAAGGGAAGTTGCATTTGTAATCTCAGCCCGTAAAATCACTCCCTAATCTATTGCAATAGTTTAAACTCACCACTAACAGATACGGTCCGCTTTAGCCTATTATGTATCGCCGACACCCTCACAGTTTTAAAATGCATCTGCTAGGGAGAGGCTTCCACACCCTTATAAGAAATGTTTTGTTCCCTTCTCCAACCGATGTGGGATCTCACAATTCACCCCCCCCCCCCCCCCCCCCCCCCCCCCCCCCCCCCCCCCCCCCCCCCCCCCCCCCCCCCCCCCCCCCCCCCCCCCCCCCCCCCCCCCCCCCCCTTGGAGTCCCAGCGTCCTCGCTGGCACACCACCCAATATCTGGCTTTGATACCATTTGTAACAATCTAAGCCCACCGCTAGTACATAGTGTCCGCTTCGGCCCGTTACGTATCGCAATCAGCCTCACGGTTTTAAAATGTGTCTACTAGGGAAAAGTTTCCATACCCTTATAGGGAATGCTTTATTTCCCTGGCCTATGAACCGGCTAAGCTTTGCAACCATAGTAACCAAGCTGATGGAAATGGTACATCATTTAGATCAAACATTGCATATTGACATTGCAGTTTCTCAATATCAGATATCAATGGGATGAGCAAAATTCACATACAAATCCATATCAACACATCATTAATAGGTACCAGCTAAACAAGTATTGGCTATGAGCACTTGAATTATCAAAGCCATGCGGCAAACTTCTCCCCATTCTTCTTCCTCGGGATTAGATATACTAAACAGCCTTTCTCAGAAATATCAAAGTTCTGATCTAGATTTGAATGCATAATATTGATATCAATATGATCGAGTCTAAATACAAAGCAAGAATAGTAACGTTCAACTCCTCAAAATAAAATCAAAGTAAAAAAGAACGGTAAAGAGAGGTAAATAAAGTACCTATACTCATTTCTGAAACACTGTCTTTTTAAGTTAATGAAAGAATTATGCTCTATCCTTCTCAGAACGAAGAGACAGACTTGTATGAACTGCTGCCAGCCTTTATCTGCTGCTATGAATTGACGTATTACATCATCACCTACAGGTAATCACACAAGGAAGTGATTAGCTCACTTGGTTGGAGGCGTGTTACTTCGATGTAGAACACGCCACCGAATATTGTTTTGATCAACCGACTCCAATGGAGTGGCTGTCTCGTTCCTGATTCGCTTGATCTTGGGGCTCAGAAGGCCCCTGTGGCGAAATCCATACAGGTTGAGCACCTGATTGTCAGCAAAATTAAAAGCCCTCTCCATGCTACTCAAGCACCTTTCAACTGGATAATCTCCATAGCTACCACAAGGCTTGCAACCAACAAAATGCGTCACGAATGGCCACCTTTCGTCGCCTAATCCAGGGTGATACTTCTCGATCATTTCCTCGTACCTATCGACTAATCCAGCCCAATAACCATGCAAATAGTATGAATTCTCAATAAACACCTTATCCATCCATTGATCTTTCTGAGAAAGCAATAGATATATCAAAGCTGACTGATCATCAGCCTCAAATGCTGGCCTGCCCTTCAAGAATGCAGTCAAAATCTTGCCAGCCTCTTCTCGAATCGGACCCTTTGGTCCCATTGGAGCCCAGGCATCCAGCAAATCCAAAGACCATTGACAATTCCGAAACAAAAAGCTTCCTGTGTTGAGTGCAATCCAGGACTTCTGGTTAAACATCAAATCAGGATATCCATGAACAACCAAATTATAGTTATCATATTTTTCTAGAGGAATCTCAAACATCATATCAGTAAATAAAGCATCACTATCCATCCACCAAATCCACTCAACCTCAGGGTGAGACAACATCAATCGCCGAATCAGCGGCAACTTGGCCCAATATCCAGCAAGTTCCTTATCCAAATGAGCCAAATTGTATACTATGTCAATCCCATGAAGCCTGCAATAGTCAATCTTATTCTTGATTGCCTTCAACAAATAATGATCCCCAATTGGGTTATCACAGGGTTTTGGAGGAGAACCAGTAACAAGCAAGATCCTAGCTCTTTTATTAACATAATTTGGAAATTGTGGGTTTTGATCGAGCCAAACCTTTCGCTTCTGATTCCAGTTCGCAATCTTGGGTCCAAGCGTGTAAGTGGCATTAGGGTTGATTTCGGTCTCGGCAGGATCATCCGGGCCGTTGGGGTCGCCGTCAGATCGAATCTCCGCAAGTATCCGGTTGGTTTCTTCGATGATGTTTTGGTTTACAGCGTCGGCCTCGGAGCTGCCAAGGTTGCCGATGCCGATGGTGCCACGAAGAACAAGGATGGTGACAAAGCCACAGAGTATTGTGATCTTGATATTGTTGAAAGTCTTCTGGATCTGACGGCCACGTGGAATTCCAGGGAACCCACGGCTTCTCCTACCGTTGGCGGTGGCAGCAGTGGTCGGCAAACTATTCCCTCCACCGCCGGTTCTCTTCTGAGCTGAGATATTGTCTAATCCCATGCTTCCTCTCTTCCTTTTCTCTCTACAAAATTTTCACACTCGAAAAACAGAAAGATCTGACAAAATACTTCTTCTTCTTCTCTCTATCCTCTTTTACCTTACGACGATTTGGAGCTATGGGTTCTTTCCCTCTTTCCAGCAGCTCTCTCCAGCATCAATTCAAGTATGTCATCAGTTGAGGGTGGCGATGGGTCATGAAGAAGAACATAGTTGGCCCAGAAAATAGCACCGACTGTGTGTTGAATCGAGGGGATTTGTTCGAATGATTCGATTTTTATGTTATTTGAGGGAAACAGATAAGTATAGTGGATTTTATGATAATATCATATGCATTTGTGTGAGATGTGATTGGATCCACTGTTTCTTTATAACAAATAGGGTTTTATATTATTAGGATATAAAATCTACTTTCGTTAGAACAATTTTTAGCACAAATTCACAATTTCCTGAAATTGGTTTTCAAAATTTGGTACGTGTTTTGTTTGAATCAGTTTACCTTAACCTTCATCGCCTATGACAGTTCTTAAAATCTTATTTCCTTCAGTAATTAATGTCTTTTAACTTACAAATTATCATTCAAAATTATTTTTTTAAAAAAAAGATGTGTATTTAGTGAATTATAAACAATATATTTCACAAAACAAATTATGAATTTAGGAAGATTTTCCATAGTTATAATGTTCATTTAATTTTTTTTGTTGAAATCATTACTAAATTTTTTGAGATAATGATTATTATTATTATTTTGATAATTTTAGCAAAAATTGTAATACTTTTTATTATGAAGTTTAATGGGATGNAATTAACATTGAAATTTTTTTTTTTTTTTTTTTTTTTTTTTTTTTTTATAGTTTAAGAAGAGAAAAGAAGCTTAAATTGATATTTCTATCTTTTTAATGCTTTTGTCGGATGATTATAGTTGTAATGCCTTAGCTCAAGATATTGAATCTGGATTCAACACCTAATGCTGTCATTTTTCTAACCATGCAATCTACTTGTTTTGAAGTGTTTCTAAGAATGAAAACTGTCTTAACACCGAAATTTACAAAGAATATTAATGAGATCTCACGTCGGTTGTCGGTTGGGGAGGAGAACAAAATATTATTTATAAGGGGGCGGAAATCTCCCCTATCAGAAGTGTTTTAAAAATCTCGAGGAGAAAGTCCAAAAACGATAATATCTTAAGCTGTTACAATATTCATACTTCTTAGTTCCTTGAAAGTGGGAAAGAGATAGATAGAACAAGAAGCTGATAAAGCATTTTTAATCGGTTAAGAGAAAGAAATAAAGGCACTCATAGGGTTCGAGTACAAGGAATGTCGACAGATCCATATCTTCACAAAATTATCAGGAACTTCAGAGAGTATCAGTCACTAGCAGTTGAATTATCTATAAGCCATATGGCTTTGTTGGAAACTCTTCTGAATTATATTTGAATGCACAATACTGATATCAATATGAGCAAAGTCTAAATACATGGCAAGAACAGTAATGCTTCAACTCAAGAGAAGATCGAAACAAAAGTATCAGTAAAGAGATAGAAACAAAGTAGCTATACTCATTGCTGAATAACTATCTTTTTAAGTTAATGAATGAATCCCACTCTATCCTTCTCAAACGCAGTGACCACAAAAAATAAGCAAAAGACAAACTTGGGTATGAACAATTACCAGCCTTTTATATCTGCTCTGGATGAATTGACGTATAACACCATCACCTACAGATAAATCACACAAGTGATTAGCTCACTTGGTCGGAGGTGCATCGCTTCGATGATGAACATGCCTTCGGATATCGTTTTGATCAACCGACTCCAATGGAGTGGCTGTCTCGTTCCTGATTCGCTTGATCTTGGGGCTCAAAAGGCCCCTATGGCGAAATCCATACAGGTTGAGCACCTGATTGTCAGCAAAGTTAAAAGCCCTCTCCATGCTACTCAAGCACCTTTCAACTGGATAATCTCCATAGCTACCACAAGGCTTGCAACCAACAAAATGTGTCACGAATGGCCACCTTTCGTCGCCTAATCCAGGGTGATACTTCTCGATCATTTCCTCGTACCTATCGACTAATCCAGCCCAATAACCATGCAAATAGTATGAATTCTCAATAAACACCTTATCCATCCATTGATCTTTCTGAGAAAGCAATAGATATATCAAAGCTGACTGATCATCAGCCTCAAATGCTGGCCTGCCCTTCAAGAATGCAGTCAAAATCTTGCCAGCCTCTTCTCGAATCGGACCCTTTGGTCCCATTGGAGCCCAGGCATCCAGCAAATCCAAAGACCATTGACAATTCCGAAACAAAAAGCTTCCTGTGTTGAGTGCAATCCAGGACTTCTGGTTAAACATCAAATCAGGATATCCATGAACAACCAAATTATAGTTATCATATTTTTCTAGAGGAATCTCAAACACCATATCAGTAAATAAAGCATCACTATCCATCCACCAAATCCACTCAACCTCAGGGTGAGACAACATCAATCGCCGAATCAGCGGCAACTTGGCCCAATATCCAGCAAGTTCCTTATCCAAATGAGCCAAATTGTATACTATGTCAATCCCATGAAGCCTGCAATAGTCAATCTTATTCTTGATTGCCTTCAACAAATAATGATCCCCAATTGGGTTATCACAGGGTTTTGGAGGAGAACCAGTAACAAGCAAGATCCTAGCTCTTTTATTAACATAATTTGGAAATTGTGGGTTTTGATCGAGCCAAACCTTTCGCTTCTGATTCCAGTTCGCAATCTTGGGTCCAAGCGTGTAAGTGGCATTAGGGTTGATTTCGGTCTCGGCAGGATCATCCGGGTCGTTGGGGTCGCCGTCAGATCGAATCTCAGCAAGTATCCGGTTGGTTTCTTCGATGATGTTTTGGTTTACAGCGTCGGCCTCGGAGCTGCCAAGGTTGCCGATGCCGATGGTGCCACGAAGAACAAGGATGGTGACAAAGCCACAGAGTATTGTGATCTTGATATTGTTGAAAGTCTTCTGGATCTGACGGCCACGAGGAATTCCGGGCAGCGTACGGCCTCCCCTGACGTTGGTGGTGGCTGCAGTGGTGGGGAAACTATTGCCTGCACTCCCAATTCTCTTCTGCGCCGATATACTGTCTTGTCCCATGTTTTTTCTCCCTTCTCTCTACAAAATTTTCACACTCTCACCTGAGGAACACTCGTATACAGAAAGATCTGACAAAAAAACTCCTCCGTATCCTCTTGTCAAGATTTGGGGATATGGTCATGAGGGAAATGGCTTATTCCCCTCTATCCAACAGCTCTCTCCTCCACCTCGTCTCCTGCAATTCAATTATGTCAGCAAGATCAGAAATCAAAGAGGTGGGCCAGAAAATGGGACAATCATGGAGGGAAGAGGTAGAAGAAGAATAGAACAGTAATGGGTAATGGGTAATCGCGATGAATTCAATTCAATTCAATTCAATTCAATTCATGGTGGTGATAGATAAGGAACAGCTAAGAAAGGAAGAAGAAGAGACAATGGAGAGATCTGTCTGAACAATGAACACCGACTGCGTTGAATTGAAGGACTTTCTGTGAATGATTAGAAGTTTAATGTCATTAAATAAAGATTATAATTCATGTCTGATGGATTTTATGCAAATCTCATACGGCACATGCATCCGTCTGATCCGTGATTGGATCCACTGTTTCCTGATTATTGGGATGTTTTTTCTATTACACAAATTCCAAGCTCCTAGCTCCTTCTGTCACCACTCAGAATTTTTAGGTTTTTTCTTTTTTTGTTCGACAAAATTAGAATTAGGATAATCCGTTGAAAGCCCAACAATATTAATCGAGAAGAAAATAACTTCACATGATTTGGTTTGACAACAAAAACTCAAAAAGTTATTTCAAAGATAGATTCTTACTTCTCTTTCCCTTTGCTATTGTTTTGTCAGTTGCAGCTTCGTTTTGCTTCTCAGCCGCTGTTGTATTCCTCAAGAATTTTGCTATTAATCTTTCTTGTTGGCTTGGAAACCTCAGTGATCGATGGATCCAAAACCTCACTGAGCACCCAAGCTTGAGACCCATAGCCATGGCCTCCTCCCACAGTTGCCTGCCCATTTCAAAATCACCCTGCAAAGCTTTGGTATAAGCACATCATAAATTGGACTTAACCTCCCAATGAGCTTCTGTTCATTTTTCTCAAACAGCTCAACTGCATAACTTGCTCTCTCAGCTCCACACAGAATACCAATCAAATCATAGTAGAATTTTCGATCCGGGATCAACCATCTCGTCCACAATCCCATGCCCTTTCCCAAACCTTCCACTCAGGAACAGAACTCTCACCACAAGATAATAGCCAACCCAATCGGGTCGAAAGCCAGATCGTTTCATCATGTCAAGGGTTCTACATGATTCCTTCACTCTCCTGATCCTACCAAGACATGACAACAATACATTATAACTGATTGAGTTTGGGGCAATCATATAGGATCTCATTTCCATCATCACATTCAATGCTTCAGGCACAAGACCTGAAGGATTTTTCTTAAGATTATGCTCGCAAAGGCACCTAAGGGAAGTGTTGTAGCAGAACAAATCTGGCATGGTTCCATCAGGCTTCATTTCTTTCAGTATCCTACTTGTTCTTTAGTGTTCTTCTGAATTGACCCTCCATATAGAAGGCTTATATAGATGCGACTCATTGTGCCAGATATCAAGCCTCAGCCACAAGACTGAAGGTCTGGCCCTCTATTGCACGGTTACAATGGCAGTGTAGTCCTTCTTCTGAGCAAATAAGCGGATGGCATGATTGACATCTTCATCTACCCAATCATGTTTCAAATTCTTGAGAGACCACAAGAAAATCTAAGCACCCTTCTAGTGGGAGCTTCGTTTTTGCAAGAATCCATAACCCGGGTAACGAGTGAAGATGTCAAGGATACTGTACATCTGTTCAGACTGGCTTCCAATTCATCTAGCCCACCGATCGAGCATGAAACTATTTTACACAGTTCTAGCACAGAAGCGCCATTGTAACCGGTGGAGTGATGGGAGCATAAGCGATTCTGGGTGCAGATGGGTTGCATAAAGAATCCATGGCATTTTAACTTCAACACTGAGACGCATATTCTCGGCGGAATATCGTCGAACACATGGCATGCGTGCATTGCATTGTACAGAGCTCGGAGAACAACGGCTTAACTTCTCATAATCGGCTTTCAGGGGACCAACTTAAACCGAGGTTTTAAGGACATTAAAACACTGGAAATTTATGCAATGATTCTATGGACACGGCGCTTACCTTGATTTCTTCGATGTATGCTCCTGGGGACGAACACCCTATTCTCA